AGCCGTACAGCGGCTAGTAGTCTAAGCGCATGACATGCAGATGGTCAACTGTTGACCCCTTGCGTTTTTGTACTCATTTCCGGCCTAGTTCGATTGAACCGGCCGATAGAAAGTTCATGGTCCCTGAATCCCTTCAGTAGTTGCAGAGAGGAGAGGGACGACAGAAAATGTGGGTAGATGGATACAGTAGTTTGCTTATTCTGCCTTTCTTTCGACCTACGATTTGGTTACCGGTTTGTGACCTCTGCTAACCAAAAGGAGTTTACTTGCTTCTGACAGCTAACATATCGCTGTATTCCTACTCCCGTTTGAAGCATTTGTTCCCCGGTACAAATTTAAAACAGGTGTGCACGGCAGGATTTATTGTTTTTAATAAATTTCGTGACAGCTTCTCAGCTGCATTTTGTCGCTGCATGAGGATGATAATGAATAGAACATACGACAGTTTGTTATTTCACAGAATGACATGGCATAACAACAAGGATCATAGTTCAGTGTAAATAGTGATCAGATAAATCAACGTACAGGAAGGAAAGGTGGAGGGGGGGGAGTTGTGAGAATTTAACGAAAACAGCATTTCGACTACTTATTCGAGCACGAGCAAATCTAACTCTGCGTTACTTGGACGCTGCCTACATACGGTGGGAGAAACCCGACCTATGCAAGCAGTTTTACCATGTGGTCAACCTCCAATTACCCTGATATTCGGGCACTTAGTTTTAATCCCCAAGTGATTTTCGTTAACTTCCCTCAACCCCACCCTTTCCTTCCTATACGTTGGTTTAAGGCAGTGTCCTTTATCTCATCACTATTTACACTGAACAGTGTTCCCTGCTGTTATGTTATGTCATTCTGTGAAATAAAAAAAACCGTTGTATGTTCCATTCATTATCAACCTCGTGCAACGACAGGATAAATTTGTGAAGCTGTGTACCGGGGAACAAATGGTTCAAATCGGGCAGTTATTCAAACGGGAGTAGCCACACCCATTTGTTGGCTGTCCGAAGCAAGTAAAGTCCTTCTGGTTAGCAGAGATCACAAACCGGTAACCAAATACTAGGTCGAAAGAAAGGCAGACTAAGCAGACTACTGTATCCATCTACACACATTTTTTGTCGTCCCTCCCCTCTTCAAGTTTAACTTGGCTGCCTGCGGTCTGGTAGTTGGCTGCCTGTTTGTGACCTTTGCTACCCAGAATGGGCTTGTTTGCCCCAGAGAGCCAATGAATCGGTTTGCGAATCTTCTGGATTTAATAAATCCCCGATCTGCAGAGACAGGGGATGACAGGTGGTGAGGTCCTGGTGCTCAGTTAGACAGCAAATGAATTTTCTGATCATACCCTCGGCTGCTGCCAACCTCTTTGACTTTCTAGTTTACACTGTAGTTGGCTAGAAACCAAAAGTATTCAGGCACTTCGTCGAAAGAATTTTCCAAG